TATCTTGATGAGGTGATGCATGTTGGAAAACAAGAGGAGTTCCAACTTTCTAAGTTGGAAATTTCCTAAAATGCATGCATATAATTGAAGTCCATAAAATCCAACTTCACTTTCATCAAACTTTTGTTTTAATGTCACACAAAAAGGTCAAGAGTAATGATGTTCAAACCTCTCCCTCTTTGAGGTTTGATTAGATCCTTTTAGTTGAAAAAGGGGACATTTTCAAGAGGAAAATGATGATCAAATCTATCCTTCTTTTGAAGAAAATAACTGAGTTTGAATTTGCCTAAAAACAGACTCTTCTCAATATAGCAAAAGTTGGTTTCAATAAAGTGAAAATTTTCTCATCAATTATAAACCAATGTTGAAATCCTTCCATAATTGAACAAAAACAATGTAATTACTTTAAGTTCCTCCTTAATTTGCAAATATGTATCTTTTGAGATGTTTTATTGTGGATTACTCCACATGTAATTAAATGGTTCATGATTGGACATATGAGTGTATGGACATTACTTACATCACTCATACGAAATTTGGAGAATGCGGAGTAAAGTTTTGAGATGGTTCAATATTCAAAGCAGAAAGAAATAAAAAAAAGGAAAGAATCTTCTAAAGATCTTATCGTATCATTTAAAACATTGAAATTTTCATTTTTGCCTAACGTTTTTGACCAACCAGATGAAATTTTCTTATATCATTATTTAGTTCTAACTCTAGTAGTTCTGTAAATTATCATTACACATGCGATTTTCCCTTTTCTTTCTCTTCAAATTTTAGTCACCTCATTAGTTTTTACTTCAAGTTACTCATGTTTCACTCCACAACAATATCCTATATCAACTCAGTTTTACATGTATTTAATAAAGTAAGATCTTTTTCGTTCTAGAGCTCAATTTGAAATTTATTCAAATTATGTGAACTAAAATAATACTTTAAAAAAATTTTATAGACTAAATTTAAGAACAACAGTGAACTTAAATAAACGAGAATTTTATTATATTCTCAATATTAAAAGTATCAAAGTTACTGTTTTTAGAGAGACGAAATGGAAGAAAGAAAATTACAACCAAGAGCCAATCATGAGAATTGGAAAATTAAGGCAATGAGAGAGAAACTTTTTAAGGTATGAAAATAATGAGTTCGAAGAGCCCAAATTTCCATTTTCTAACCTCAATTTTATTTATTGAGTTTGAACTTTGAAGATTCTTTTTGTGGGCTCCCTTTCAGATTTGATGACCTGGAAAAATAAATATATATGTATATTTATAGGCTCACGTGGGATTTGAAACGAAGGATATCACATAATTAATTAATTATGGTGCAGGTCTACCATATTAATATTTATGGAATTCCATCTTAAAATCAATTAACATGAATAATCTGTTATAAATCTTTGCAAGATTTTTTTTTTTTTGAAATATGGAAGGGGAAATAGGGTAAATTATATTTTTAATATATGAGTTATTATATTTGTATTTATTTAATCCCTAATCTAAACTTTAGGTTTTAAATTCTAATTTTTTAAAAATAGGTCCAAATTAGATAGTAGATTGGAATCTTCGTCTCCTTATTTTGAATTATCATGTTAGGAGAAAAGACTTTAAATATAATGTTGGAAAATTTTATCACAAAATTATATTTAAAGTTAGTACATAATCAAAGTGACTAAATACATTTTGACTAGAAAGGATGCAACAATTCTAAGCCAAAACACACTATTATTTGTTCTTAAAGTAAACCTTTAAAAACATTGTTTTGGAGAGTGGGGAAAATAGAAAATATACTAGCTTGTTTGAAAATTAACTGTCTTCAAAACAACTTTTTTGTTTTATTTTTTTTTTCAAAATTAAATAATATGTAGTATAAAACATAATATTTTGTTTCTTAGAAAACAAATTCTCAAATGGCAAATCAGTCATCTAGAGTTTTTTTCAAGCAAATGATTTTATGCTCTATTTTCTTTAATTTCAAAATATAATTTTAATTAAACAAGCACGAGAAACTTGTAGCATTAATTACGGCGGAATATGTGCTTCTAAAAGATCTTTTATACTGTGTCCAATCTCGAAGTTAGTTCTATACATATGACCAGCAACAAGAAAAATAAATGCAATAGCTAAATGATGATGAGCAATATCAGTCAGCCATAAACTTTGCGTT